ATAGTCTAGTCTATAGTCTAGTCTATAGTCTAGTCTATAGTCTAGTCTATAGTCTAGTCTATAGTCTAGTCTAGTATAGTCTAGTCTAGTCATAGTCTAGTCTATAGTCTAGTCTATAGTCTAGTCTATAGTCTAGTCTATAGTCTATAGTCTAGTCTATAGTCTATAGTCTAGTCTATAGTCTAGTCTATAGTCTAGTCTATAGTCTAGTCTATAGTCTAGTCTATAGTCTAGTCTATAGTCTAGTCTATAGTCTAGTCTATAGTCAGTCTATAGTCTAGTCTAGTCTATAGTCTAGTCTAGTCTATAGTCTAGTCCATAGTCTAGTCTATAGTCTAGTCTATAGTATAGTCTATAGTCTAGTCTATAGTTTAGTCTATAGTCTAGTCTATAGTCTAGTCTATAGTCTAGTATATAGTCTAGTCTATAGTCTAATCTATAGTCTAGTCTATAGTCTAGTCATAGTCTAGTCGTGAAATTTTTCAGTAAAAATTTTATTTTTAAGTAAAAATTCCATTTTCACTTAGAATTCAATTTTTTCACTAAAATTCTTTATTTCGTTATAAAAATAAATTTTTAACAAAAATTTAAATTTTTTATTAAAAATTAGATTTTTTATTAAAAATTAAATTTTTCACTAAAAATTAAATTTTACACTAAAAATTAACATTTTCTTAAAAAGTTAAAATTTTTATTGAAGAGTAAAAATTAAATCTTTCAGGGGAACTATTTAAAATTTAATTTATATTGATTTAGGGAAATGATCTCGAGAGTCTGATTTGTCTATTGATTTTAAGTTTATTTATATAAGTTATTTAAATTATTTGTTATTTTTTGATAAATCCCTAAAGTATAAAACTTTTCATTTCGGTTTTTATTTGTTTTCTGTTTTATTTTCCTTATTTTAATTTGACAGTTTTGCATAAATGTGAAGTGAAAAAAAGTATTTCCTACATCATGAAAATTATGTTTAAAATTTGACATAAAGTGAAATGTTTGACTTTTATTCAACTTTACTTTTGCTCTATAATTTAAAATGTTCTTTGAGTTTTAATTTTCTATGCAAACTAAATGATACAATAACAAAAGAAGAAAATTCTAACAAAATGTTGCATAATAAATTAATAGAGAAATCCTTAAGGATTTCATAGCTAAATAGAGAAAAAATCAAACAAATTGTCTTGACAAATAAAAATTAAAAGCAAATGGAAACAAACGTATGTTAAGCACATGACCTATTTGGTAAAAGTGAAAAAGGCATTATGTAGCAAAATTTATTTTACTTTCCTTTTTTTATAGAGTCTGCTGTGTATTTGTAAATTTCTGTTAAGACCTTTTTTCCTTTTTTGTTGTAGTTTTGTTATGCAAATTCATTTGTTTGCTAAGCTGTTTAAATTACTGCTTTCTTGTATATTTGCAAAACGGAAAACCTCCCTTAGTGTGTGTCTATTCTGTTAGGGTTTTTTTCTCTCTGTTAAAGCCAAAATCCAATTAACAAATCATTAAACTTTCATTAAACGCCAGGCTTAACAAACAAACAAACTACATAACATATGGTTGGTTGTTATGTTTGAGAGCTGGTTGCCATTTTTTTCAATATTTGCCAACATTTTTGCAATGGTCACTGTTAATAAAATGGTATAAAGTTTATTTGAATTTGTTTGGTTTGTTCTGGTTTGTTTGTATGTAATTTTATTCTCTTCTGTTGAGCGTTTATTTTTTTTTTTTCGTTTTCATTCAATTTTATTTCATCGTTTGTTCATCCGTTTACTTTCGAGTATGTTGTGTAAACTGTTTCTATAAAGTGCATTTGTGTTAATCCATTTTTGCGTGCGAAAATTGCTTTTGGGGATTTTTTTTTGTGTAAAAAGAAGTACATACTCATGTGCATGTACATATAAAGGGTTTTCCAAAAAAGCGGTTAAATTATAATATACTCTCATCAAGTTAGATGAATTTAATCGGATTTACTTGTTAGTGTAGTTTTATCTTCTGCACATGTTGTTTTGTTAAATTCTAACTTTTCACCCTTTTTATTGTTATATCCTTTATGAAAACTCACATATTTTTCTAGTATTTGATGAAGTATGAAAGTGTGTGTACGCACATATGTATGTTCACATGTGTGTTAAAAGCGTTTTTCATAAGCAATCATTTGAATAATTCAATATGCTTTTTTATGGAATACATTTTTATTAGAACCTTTTGCAAATTTTTCAAACCCAATTTGGTCACTGAAGTAGTTAAGGATTTGGTGGAATATTAATTATTTTAAATATTGAAATCTATGAAGACTAACAATCAACATATATAAATAGAAGAGTTATATTTGTTCGTTATCGATAAACTCAAGAACTACGGCACCTTATTAAGACAAAACTTCAAATATGTGGTCATGAGGAGTGTTCCTGTCAAGCGGCTGCAACGCTGACCGGGCACCATTAGTAAGGTATAAAATAGCATATTGAATTCTTCACAAAACATAAATTATACCCTACACCACTTTAGTGGGGAGGCTATATAGGGTTAGTGCTGATGTTGGTAAAGCACAAGATTGGTCCTACACCCACCTTAAATAAAGTAAAAAGATTCTAAGCCGATTAGTAGAATCTTTTGCTGAGTCGATTTAGCTATGTCCTTCCGTCTGGCAGTCCGTCCGTCCGTCTAAACTTTGTAATCAAACTACAGCTTGCAATTTTTATATTCAATCATTTTCTGAGTCGATAAGATAGAATTCTGCAACAAGTGTTCTTGACAGATAAAATATCTGATATAACATCACTCCCAAGATGACAAAGACAGAGAAGGTATAACTGCATTCTATGGTCTTCTCCTCATGCTTTATCTCCTTCAGATCCACTCGTCTAATATTGTATAGTTATGCCCTTAATCCGTATTGTTCAGCTAAAATACTGACCTTGGTCTTGCTTTTACCACACTATTTCAATTTCCGTGTAACTCAAGGACCTTAATAGCAGAGCTTATAACTGGTAGAGTAGTCTGATATGACTTTTTTACAGTCTAACAAGGTTTTATATTCAGCCTTATCAGCTGATATCATCGTAGTTGCTCTCTTTCTATGCTCCATATTCAATCCATTCCCTTTCACACACACCCCTCTATAGCATGCACTTTTGCCTTGAAGCTAGTTTTTTTTTGTTAGGTTATCCTCGTTTTACCACACTGTTCCAATTTCTGTGAAATCCGGGGACCTTAATAGCAAAGCTTATTGCTATGCCCCATATTCAATCCATTCCATTTTACACGCATTCAGCTATAGCAAGGACTTTTGCCCTGAAGCTATTTTATTGGTTAGGAAGACGGTAGTATTTCTCAGCTTCCGCCTTTCAACTGATTCCCACATAAATTTTCAGGTCTTTATGTATAATCATCCAATATGTACGATTTATATTGATAGCTTGTCCTGTAACCTGCAGATCAATTCTCTTAAAGATAAGAGCTGTTTGGGGGCTAGTGTCCTCTGGCACTTATCTTATCTACATATGACTCAATTGAGGGATATCCAGCAATATTTATAGAGCTTTGGTTGTCGTAGGAAACTATCGTTGACATTCGTAAAGTTAATATTTTATCGGAGAGATTTTATCGATCAGACAATAATAATAAAGCTAAATAAAGTACTGAGTTGAGTACTCAGCAAAGTTTTTCGTTTAATTCTCTTTGTTCTTTGAATCAGTAGCTAAGATCACTTAAGGTGTTTTTATTACCGACCAATTATTTGTTCAAGGTCCAGAGCAATTTAAAGGTTCTTTTTTTTATCAATAGACTTACGTTCACTCAGAACCATTTATCTCTTTTTATTTTTATTCTATTTAGGCTTCTTCATTACTAAAGAACGTTTTCATTCAACTAGAGAGATACATTGGCAGAGAGTAAAAAATTGCTTCTCTGAGTGCTTTTGTTTGTTTTTTAATCATGTGTGAGCATGAACATGTAAACTTTATAAGTTTTCTGTTATCATTAGAGAACCATTTCTTTTAGATTATCTCAAATTTGTGGATATTTTTCAAAAGAAATTTTGATCAAAAAGCTGGAACCATTTTTTTCTATTTCAAAAAACTTTCACATAGCGCCAAAAAGCTTTCTCACTTTCACATGTGCAAAAGCTCATACTTAGCCATTATAGTTACTATTCGAAAGTTTTAAAGGTTTTCTAATGTCAAGAATATTTCAAAAAAGATCTTTTAATGTTTTATACTGCTGTTTAAGTTTTACAGCAAAGTTAAAGGATTTAAGATATATTAGATCGATTCAATTTAGATATTGAATTTCTCAGACCCATAATACAGAGTTTATTGTTTTATCTATTTTCAGTAAATTTATGAAAAAAAGTCAAAATAATTTCCATTTCTTTCAAAGTCTCCTTACACAGAAAAAAGTTTCAGCATAAATATTATGAACTGCTTTCATTGACTAAAGTTAATAATATTTAAGAATAAGTTCCTAAATTGTATGAATTTTTTCATTTTTATATTTTTAAACATAATCTAGAAGCCTTGACTTAAAATATTAAAAATTTTCTTTATATTTTTCTGTTTGTTAAAAAATGTTTGAAATTTTCTTTAGAAAATTTGTTATTTCTTTATGATTTTTAGATTGAAAACAATGAAATATGCGCGTAACATGCAGCATTTTCTGAAGAATGGATGTTTAGCTATATGCTGGTTTTTTATTTCATATTTTGTTTTCCAGCATTTTTATTTATTTATCATAAAAATACGCTAATATGTGATTATTTTCTAAAAAATGGAAGATATTAATGGGTAACGGTTATTTATTTATTGCATTTTTGATGAAAATCAAAGAAAATGAACAAAAAAACAAAAAAATCTTTCATGTACAAATTCATACATTTTATGAACTTTTAATATTCTGAATGAAAATGGTTTGGGAAAAAAAGTCATGTTCGATTCATTCAATTTATTTCAAAATTCATTCCAAATATGAATTATTTTTTTCTGTGTAATAATTTATTAATATTTTCTTTAAAATTTTATTATTTCATATTTGATACATTTTTTATAACACAATCCTCGAACTGATAAACCACCTGACAAGGATTTGAAGATTTGATGTTAGTACACTTAGCCAAGGCTGGTTTAATTTTATCCTTATCATTGGGAAATCTAGACTCTAAATATTTCAATACCACCTCAGGCTTTTGCTTGCCATCTGCACCAATAATGCCAATATGCTTATAGTAGCACAGCAAGAAACATTTTAGTTTCTCGGAGGTCTCTTTATATTTAGTGCTAAATATATCACCGTTCAATATGCGTTTAGTATCTTCACCACCTAAACTGCCTTCCTTAATGCACTTCTCGGTAGCCTTTTTGCCAACTTCAGCGTCAGTAGCAGCGGCCTGAAATTAAAGACTATGATTTTCTCACTCCATAAGTGTGGGTGTTTTTTTTTTTTTACTTACTTCCGTGTGATGGTTAAAGCTTAAAGCCACCACTACCAAGATGAACAAATAACAAATAATGGTTTTCATTATTGCAAGTTGTTGAATTTAATGATAACATTGCTCTCTGCTCATGTTGTTTAAATACTAATTTTTAATCAAATATGCGGTTGGCTATTGTTTGTGAAAAAAATTTAATTAAATAAAAATAAAATTACCTCTTTAAAATTATTTTTATTCTAATAAACATATTGTATAATTAATTTTTTTCTCCCTTTTGCTTTATTTAATTTGAGTTAAATACAATTATTTCAAGCACACTTTTTTTTCGCTCATTTTAGTTAATATCTCTATATGCTATGGCTAATATTTTAAATATTTTAAATTAAATTTTAATAAATATAATACCAACAGGGTTTTTTTTTGTAATTGTGGTTTTGTTTTTAAATTGAAAAATTTTCACATAAATAAACATAGAACAACCAATGATTTTAATAGTGAAATTCAAACAACCATAAAAAGTACACGGTTAACAATGACAACAAAAATATTATCATCAAAGGCAGCCGCAACTAAAATGACAAAAACTTTAAAATTATTAAAAATGCAACAATTTATGTTTTTAATGATTTTAATGGTCATTGTTAATGCTGCTATGGTATCAGCTAAAATGGTAAAAGAGCCATAAAAATAAAATAAATTTTTTCTAACAAATTATATTTCCTTTTTAGTCCGAGGAGGAAGCTTTGGAAAAGGAACTATTGGAATTTCGTAAAAAGTGCATGGGTTTATCTAAACTTACTAAAGAACAAGCCAAAAAAATAAACCAGCATACACTCTTCTCCAAAGACACCACTCTGGCCAATACACCCAGAGAGGTCCAGTGTTATTGTTCCTGCATTTTGGAGCAATATGGTATTTTAGTTAATGGTAAACCCAATGAGAAAACTTTACGCCAAACCTTGCCCGTTGTGATAAATGATAAAAAGAAGGCTGATGCTGCTTTGGACAAATGCACGAAATTGGAGGGCAAGGATAAGTGTGAAATTGGATTTAATTTTCAATTGTGTGTGGTTAGGGAGACTGGTTTACAAGTTTTCCAATAACATCAAAATTTCTATGAATATTATTTAAAATAATAATATATTATAGAACATATTGCATTTTAAAATCTATGGTTTTTCATTTATCTAACAACAAGGATAACTATAACTGATAGCAGAATCAAGATTTTATCAAAAAGTGGTTTGTAGTCAAAAGTCTCAGCAAACAATAGTCAAGAGTTTGTGTTGACTATATCAAAATCCAGATTAGAGCTTACTGAATAGTTTCTCAGAATATCGCCTTTTATCTGAGCAGAATGTAGTCACAACTCTGAACAGTCTTTCAAACTAAGTATAACAAAAAGTATGAACACACTATTGTTATGGGTCTATGCGGGCTATAGTCAATAGTCTGGGAGGACTTTAGTCCATAGTCTGAGCAGACTATAGTCAATAGGCTTAGCAGGCTACAATCAAAAGTCTGATAAGACTATAGTTAGTATTCTGAGCACACTATATCTATGACTATAAGAAGCTCAAATTATTGACAAGAGTCAATATGAGCAGACAATGTCTGTAGTCTCAGCAGTATATATACAATAGCCTGAGATGACTTTAGTCAATAGTGTATATATAGTATACTATATATAGTCAATAGTCTGAGTAAAGTAGAGTCAATATTTTGAGTAGTATGTAGTCAGTATTCTGAGCACATTACAGTCAATTGTCGAAATAGATTAAAGTAACTATTACGAATAGACTATATACAATATTACGAGCAAACTATAGTCATTGAACAGAGCTAATCATAGTCAGTAGTCTGAGCAAACTATAGTCAATGAGCTAGGTAGACTTTAGTCAATATTATGAGCAGATTATAGTCAATGAACAGAATAGATTATGGTAACTAGTCTTAATAAACTATATTGAATAGTATAAGCAAGCTGTAGTCAATAGTCAGAGCTAATTATAGTCAATAGTTTGAGATGGCAAAGTCAGTAGAATATATACAATAGCCTGAGATGACTATAGCCAATAGTGTATATATGAACAGACTATGGGTCTAGGCGGGCAATAGTCAATAGTCTAGGCAGACTGTAGTCCATTGTCTGAGCAGACTATAGTCAATAGGCTTAGCAATCTATAGTCACTAGTCTATATATATGTATGACTATAAGAAGCTCAGATTATTCACAAGAATAAATATGAGCAGACAATGTCAGTAGTCTCAGCATTATATATACAATAGCCTTAGATGACTATAGTCAATAGTGTATATATAGTATACTATATATAGTCAATAGTCTAAGTAAAGTATGGTCAATAGTTTGAGTAGTATATATTCAGTAGTCTGAGCAGATTATAGTCAATTGTCGGAATAGATTATACTTACTAGTCTGAATAGACAATAATAATAGTCTGAGAGAGCCATAGTCAATATATTGTCTATAGTGTGAGCGATTAAAGTCAGTAATCTGAACATAGTATATAAATGGTGTAGGCAAACTTTAGTCGTTACACACAACTGATTACAATCAGAAGTTTAAGCGACGATTTTAGTAGCCGGAGCAGCCTGTAACCATTACTCTGAGGAGACTATAGTCCATAATAGGCTACTGTTCGTAGTCTGAGCAGAATTAAAACAATAGTCTGAGCTAACTTTAATCAATCAAGGCTATAGACAATAGATGAGGCAAACTGTTGTCAATAGTCTCCGCTAACAATAGTAGACGGACTCAGCCAACTATAGATAACAGAATGAGCTGACCACAGTCCATAATTTGTGGTGTTTTAGAAATCTGATTTATTATAAAATTTTCTTAAATTTTCTATTTCATAAATATTTTTAAAGATCAGTTGTTGTTTTCCTCAACGTTTAGCTGTAGTGTTAACAGTTCTGTTAATTAAAACCTCTTACCGCTTAAAGGTTAACTAACACTTAACATAACTGTAAAAATGTTTTTATTTTAACTTGGCCTCCCTAAAATAGGCAATGATTTCATTTAATTAACATCCACACACTTAGACAGGCTGTTTCATATTAAATTTTTACATTTCTTTCTCACAAAACTATTAAAAATTCCATACACTATAAATCCATTAACCTTAATATACATTAATCCATTAAACATATAGATTTTTTACATAGATTACAGGGCATATAGCTGATTTTATTATGACCCAATTATAAATGGTTTAATATAAATATTAAATAAAAAATAATAAGCTGAAAAATATCACGGACATTGATTTAATTCTTTTTTTGCCAGCATGCATACATTTACAAGATAAACAACGTCATTATCGATAACATCATCATATATATTATCAACATTATCATCATCAACATAATATATGTATATGTATAATACTAATACTTTATAATGCATTATAATATGCATTAATTAATAATAAATATTCAGCAGATAGAGAGAGTTAGTCGTATGAATATGTATCAGTATTAAGGTGGCTCAACAAATTTCATTTGAATAGATTTGAAAAGATTTGAGGAGACTTTAATCCACAGTATCAGCCTAGGTACACTACAGCCTGTTTACACTATAGTCAATACCTTTAGTTGATTATAGTCTATTTCCTGACTAAACTGTAGACTTTATCATGAGTATAGTCTGAGTAGACTATAGTATATAGTCTGAGTAGCCTATAGTCTGAGTAGACTATAGTCTATAGTCTGAGTAGACTATAGTCTATAGTCTGAGTAGACTATAGTCTATAGTCTGAGTAGACTATAGTCTATAGTCTGAGTAGACTATAGTCTATAGTCTGAGTAGACTATAGTCTATAGTCTCAGTAGACTATAGTCTATAGTCTGTGTAAACTATAGTCTATGGTCTATAGACTGAGTAGACTGTAGTCTATAGTATATATTTTGAGTAGACTATAGTCTATAATCTGTATAGTCTATAGACTGAGTAGATTCTAGTCTATAATCACTCAGACTATACTCTATAGTCTGTGTAAGCTATAGTCTGTAGACTGAGTAGACTAGAGTCCATAGCTTGAGTAGACTATAGTCTATAGTATGTGTAGACTATAGTCTATGGTCTGAATAGACTATAGTATAAAGTCTGAGTAAGAAATAGTTCATAGTCTTAGTAGACTATAGTTTGAGTAGACTATAGTCTGTGTAGTTTCTAGTATATAGTCTGAGAAGTCTAAAGTCTCAGTAGACTATAGTCTGAGTAGACTATAGTTTGTAGTCTGAGTCGACTATAGTCTAAGTAGAATGTAGTCTATAGTATAAGTAGGATACAGTCTATAGTCTTAGTAGACTATAGTATGATTAGACTATAGTATATAGTCTTAGTAGACTATAGTCTATAGTCTGAGTAGGCTATAGTCTATAGTCTGAGTAGGCTATAGTCTATAGTCTAAGTAGACTATAATCTATAGTCTGAGTAGGCTATAGTATAGTATATAGTCTGAGTAGTCTGAGGAGACGGTAGTCTATAGTCTGAGTAGACTGTAGTCTATAGTCTGAGTAAACTATAGTCTATAGTCTGAGTAGACTGTAGTCTATTGTATATAGTCTGAGTATACTATAGGGTATAGTCTGAGTAGACTGTAGTCTATGTTGACTATAGTCTATAGTCTGAGTAGACTATATTCTATAGTATGAGTAGACTATAGTCTATATTTGAGTAGACTATAGTCTATATTTGAGTAGACTGTAGTCTATAGTCTGAGTAGACTGTAGTCTATAGTCTGAGTAGACTATAGTATATAGTCTGAGTAGACTATAGTATATAGTCTGAGTAGACTATAGTATATAGTCTGAGTAGACTTTAGTCTATAGTCTGAGTAGACTATAGTCTATAGTTTGCGTAGACTGTAGTCTGAGTAAACTTGTCTAAGTAGACTCTAGTCTATAGTGGACTGTAGTCAAAGTGGACAATAGACTGAATAGACTATAGTCTTTACACACTACAGTCTGCAGTCTGAGTATACTATAATATGAAAAGACTATAGTTTTTAATCTGGACTATAGACCAAATTGTAACAGGTTTTAATATATAAAAATTCAAAAAACTACAGTCCTTAAATAAATATGTAGTTCTTGTAGTCGATGATTGTTAATTTGGAGCCTCGTTATATAACATACTATAAAACTGACAGACAATCTGCCAAACATTAGCAATTTAACAACATTTTATGTTAATATGTTTTGTGTGAATAATATTTTGATATTTATTTCTGAATGTGTGTGTGTGTGTCTCTCTCTATTGCCAGAAAATCAAATATTTAGTGAAAAATTATTATATTGATAATGGACACATAAAACTATATCAGATCATATTAATGTTATCATGACTAAATTTGTATACATATATTCAAACAACTAATATTGTATACAATGTATTCATATACGGCTGAATAAGTAGACATTAGTACGTAAATAGACAAACACAGATACTTGTGTTTATATTTGTATTTATGTTTGTATTACGATTTCTAATGAAAATTATTATATTAGTAATTTTATGAATGTGTTGTGCAATGATGCATGTAATTAAGTAGAAGTTTCCCATATGGGTAGCTAAATATGTATATACATGGAATATGTATTTATTGTTGTTGCTTTTCTAAATTTATATATGTCAAAATATTAATTTAAATTATATTAATAAATAATAGAAGTATTTTGTAAATATAATTAAAAATCGAGAAATTTATAGTTTGTTAAATTAAATTTAATTTTATATAAAGCATTTAAGTGACAAATCATTGAGTTTGTTTTTTGTTTGCGCAAAAAAAAAAAAAAAAAAAAAAAAAAAACAACAACAAAAATTATATTCAAGATATTTATCTAAACAATTGAGCAATTTAAAATTCATTTAAAATTTGTTTTAAAATAAAATATTTTAAAATGCTTTTAATGAGTTTTTAATGCATAAATTTAAAATGTTTAGATTTAAATTGTTATTTTTTAATTGTATCACAAATTTAAAACAAATTTAGACAAATCCCAAACTGTCTACATAAATAAACAGCATTTAACTGCTGTATTAATATATTAAAAGCTACAGCTAATAAAAATCTCTACAAGCAGTCTTTGGCTG